AAAATACTGTTTCTTTTATTTATCATTTTTTCAGTGCAAATATTTATAATAAAAATAATATACACTTTGATTTCAATTACAACACAGAATACAATATATATGACAATTTAGAAAAATATCCAAAATATGTAATAAATTTCAATTGTTATTCTATTGCTTAACAGTGCAATTAAAACTGCAATTAATCTTTTTAATCACGATTACTTTGTGAGTTAACTGCGATTAATCGAGGGCCCTAAATTTAATACAATGAAACTGACGCTGGATTTGTAAAATGTCTCACAAATCGCAAGATTGAAAAAAGTTATATCTAGCTTGCCTCCTATCCTAAAGCCTTTTCTTCTTATAAATGCAATCGGACGGTATTTGCATGTGCTGTGAAAATTTATATTGTCTGTCAAGCAATCGATTCTGTCTGCTTTCCAAAAGATTAGTATTCCATTTGCTATATTTTTCTACAGCCAAACATAGTTTTCAAGCCACTGACTGTGTGTAATTGGACTACATTTTTTCAGGTGTTACTTGCGACTGTTCTGATTATTTAAAGAAAAATAATAAAGTCAGAAAACAAAGTGTGGACTCTAAACTATGCTGGATAGTGTTGTTTTGATTGACCTTCATAGAAATTGGCTTTGTCAAACAGATTCCAAAGATTCTAAGCCTGAATTCATCTCTACAATACTGATGCAGAGCCTGCAATGGGACTAAGAAGGGAGGCAATGTGATTCCTCTTCCCTGGGGCTTCAAAGAGCCCGTTAGACCCCCCAAATACAGCTTAGGGAAGCCCTTAGCATTGGCTTAACTTGTACCCAGCTGACCATGGTCTGTATGGGTCTTCTGGCAGCTAGGAAATAGCTGTCAATAAGACTGTCTCTGCCACACGTCCACCCAACCCCAAAATGCCCTGGTACACTCCCTATGCTGGGGATTTATGTACCAGGGATGGGGGCATGCAGAGCTTGCTGAACCAACTCTCCAACTGTCAAAGAGGCTCCGTGAACACAGCATAATCTTTGACGGTCATAACAGATGTTTTGCTTAGAGGTGTGGCCACAGGAGCAACTGTTCATTCTGTCATTGCCTCAGCCTGTTGGCCATTTGTCAGGGCTCCTTCTGCTTGTACTACCCTGCTCCTCATCTTGAGGCTGCCTGTTGGGTCCCATTCTCCAATGGGCAGGAAGGACGAGGATTTGGGTTAGGGCTGTTAAGTGTGAGACAGTTGCAGGTATAGATCAGAGTGGAGTTTTTTGGGTGTGCATACACCCATAATGCAACTTCCCTTTACAGAGCAGTTTAGTCTATGGACTCAGTTCTGATTTTAAAGATGCAGGTCACACATCACTGACAGTAGGGCCAGCCTTATGTGGCCTGTCCCATTCCCTCCACTATCCTCCACTGGAGTGGAGGAACTTGAAGGGTGCAGACTGACATTCGATTCCAGTGCTTGTGGAAAGGAGGTGGGGGATGCAGATTGTCCAGGCAAGGAATCTGCACCAACTGCATTTCCCAGCACCCCAGGAGCTCCCTGCATCACAAGGCAGAGAGCTTTTCTGCTAGGGATGGTGGTTCCAAAACAAAGCAGATTCACTGGGTAATATTCCCTGTGAGAGTGGCTGCAACTGGTGTACAGGTGATGTAGCTTTTAGTCTGCGGTAGTTGCTGCAAAGTGGTTCATAACCAATCTATGATCTGGGCAGAGGATTTCGCTTAGAGGGTAGTCCATTTACTCCCAACTGTGCAGTGGGTCCAGGATTTGGACATATGTGCAGATTGTCATAGTAAGTGTAGCCACAGCCCTCACAAAGCAGACATTGATTAATACAGGAATAAGCTACAAACAAAACAAGTTGGCTTCCATCTGTTGTGAGACCAGAGACCGCACCCTTGCTGGAACTTTCAGTATAGCACAGAGACATCTAGTGGCCAAATAACATTCCTACAAGTAAATATAATGACACAGAAGTTAGTACTTCCATAGACAAGTCGCTCAGCAACAACTTGTTACGGACACACAGGACTCATACCCTCTCTCGGCTCCGAACGGTCCCTGGGAGGAACCCCCTTCAGTGTGACAGTCGTTTTCAGGATCCCACTCTCTCTCGGGGGTTAAGCTGTAGGCTCCACCACCTCCTGGGACCGCACCTCTCTGAGACTTCGGTACACCTGTCTCTCGTCATGGGCACGCTCAGGGAGTCCACTCGCTCTGGATCCCCGGGGCCTCCACATCCACAGGGAATAATGCAACCCCGATCTCTAAACTGCAGTGAGACTCAGTCAGCGTAAAACAGAAGGGTTTATTGAGCATCTGTAAAAAGCATAAGAGGCTCTCAGGGCTCTCGGGTCTAACATCCCTCAGCAAAGTACTTCTAGTCTTATGTCACAATGGCATGCAGAGAGCCATTTCATTGTACAGTTACCACTCTAAATCCTTATTCTCGTTTAGCTGTTTTTTATTTGTTTAAATATTATGTTTTAATAGCTATACACAAGGGGCACATAAAAACACTTGTAAAACATGAACTCTTAGGAGTTTCTTTATATTAAACCTGAAATGCAGAGAAATATGTAGTTTTCTACATAGAGGGGACAGTTGTAGCATTTTAAGCTGCCTTTCATCATTGCAGAGAGCCTGATGTGCAATAATAGTCATTATTATTTGTAGTGATCTTTAGTATTGCAGTGGTATTCAATTACATTATAAGGCAATGTCCAAATCTTGGCAGGCCAACAGGTTCTCCAGGGCCTGGCACTTGCTGGCTCAGAGGATGCTCTGGAGCAGGGGAGGGAAAGGGACCAAAGCCATGAATGAGGGTCTTTTGTTTGGCCCACTGGGCATCAGCTGTTCCTTCCTGCTCCCCACTGGTGGCTCTGCAAAGGCAGCTCCACACACTGGCTCAAGCGCGCCCCAGGCTTCCAGCAGCTCTGGCCCTTGCATTGCCCTGCCAGGCGGCCCCTTTCCCTCCCAGGCTGCAGAGTGTCCTCCAAACCAGCAGGTGCTGGGCCCGGGCAGGGCACTGGGAGGCAGGTCAGCATGGGGATGCTGCAGCTGGACTGGGCAGCGGCTGGAGCTGCTGGGAGCCCGCTGCCCAGGGCAGAGCTGGAGCCAGGTAGTTGGAGCGTCCTTACAGTAGAGCTCCCAGCAGGGAGCAGGATGGAACAGCTGATGCCCAGTGGGTCAGCGGGAAGGCCCTCATAGGCCAGATCTAGGCCCCAGGCAGGCCACCGATTGAAGAACACAGCAGTATTTCCTAATGACCCTCATCAAGGGTTAGGGCCCCATTGTACTAGGCACTGTCCCTACCCCAGAGAGGTTGCAATCTAGCAGTTAGAAAGTATGGGACAGGCGAATAAACTGACAAATGGGAGGGACAGTGAGAGAAGGAGAAACTAACAATAGAGCCAAGGCCAATGGGAGCTGCAGAGTCAGCGCGCGAGGTGGGGGCAGCACGCGGAGCTTCCCTGATCACCCCTGCGCTAAGCGGCCGCGGGGACATGCCAGCCACTTCCAGGAGCTGCACGGAGCCAGGGCAGTCAGGGAGCCTGCCTTTGTCCTGCTGCACCGCCGTCCGGACTATTACGCCGACCAGAGCTGCCAGGGTCCCCTTTCAACCAGGTGTTCCAGTAGAAAACCAGATGCCTGGCAACCCTAAGCCAGGCACATTTGCATAACTCAGCGTGGTCTCAGTAACAGCTGGCTGCCAGCCTAATCAGTCCCAGATGGCAATGGTTTGTAGGTTTGTATCTTTTAAAAGTAGGTTTCAAGGAGGAATCTCAGTGAGAATAAGGTGACGGCTTGTGAATGTTGTCAGAAGGTTCTTCCCCAGCACATGGTGTGGCATGGGAAAAAGCAGAAAGGTGCTTCTGTGACAAGCAGATAAATGGATGCTCAAGTGTATCACTGGCAGAGTGAAGGAGAGGGTCAGGGCCATAATAAGAAACTAGACTTGAAAGGTAAGGGGCCGCTGATTCAGTGGAGAAGGGGAAGCCAGTGGAGGGGTACAAAGGGGAAATGATGTCATCAAAATCACCTTGGAAACATTTTAAATAGCTATGAAGCAGGAAGGTTGTAGGCATCAGTGCCACACGGATGAGATTACAATAATTAATGTATGATTTTATGGTGTAGCGGGGCGGTCACCCCGCTCTGGTTCAGAAAGGGTTAAAAGCCAGCCCTTTGAGAGGGCTGGGAGCCAATCAGGAAAAGGCTGAGAGGTAGCTTATAAGGGCTAGTCTGGGCCCTATAAAAGGGCTGCAGGGCCAGAGGCCAGTCAATCTCTTTCCAGACTTGGACAGAGATGGACCTGGTGGCCGGATAGCAAAAAGGGTACCTTGGACAGTGCAGTGCTGGGGAAGGGCTGGGGGAGCTCCAGCCTGGCAAACCCCCAGGCAGAGGCCATGCTGTCAGGGCCAGAGGAGGTATTAGGGCTTTGAGGAGGCAGCCAAGGAAGGTAGAGGCAGAAGGCCCCCTGTCCGATGATGAGTGGCCACTTCAGACTGCAGTTTGCCCCTGAGGGAAGGGGCTAGATGAAGACTGGCAGTGGGTCATTGAGGTGAGATGGGCTTAGAGGATTGGGGTTCCCTGGGGAGTGGAGGACCCTGAGTGTGTGGGCACTGCTGAGGGGCAGTAGCCAGGAGAAGGGGCACTACGGGCTGAGAAGGACGCAGAGCCTGAATTACAGTGGTGGAGATTGATAATGATAAAACAAAAAGCGACAGCAGGAGATGCTTTGATGCTGGGATGAGCTAATTCCCGAGGTAACCAGCAGGAGGCGCCGTGGCGGTGAGTACATGCCATGTGACACATGGATAAAGAAGACCATGTAGACTTCACCGTTTTCCTGTTTCTTTATCTATAGCGCTTTAGGTTCTTATAACAGCATATTGGGATTGGACTACATATTTCCTACCCCTATAAGTTTCCTTATACTAGTGCATTATGCAGTCATGTTCCAGGGTCCTTGTGATACTTGATATATGGAATTTTTATTTTATTTTTCCAGAATTAAAGCTTGGAACGTTCATTCATAATATGAAGATGCTGCTGACTTTGTTCCTCTTCCTTATTGGGAGTCAAACTTCAGTAACTCAGATGCCTGGTATTTCAGTATCCTTTGTACTCTGTTGTATTATGTGATTTGATTTTTTTTAAATACAATATTTAGTCCCCAATTTCCCCCCAAAAAATTTGAGGTGATGCCTGAGACTCTTGAGTCAGGATCTCTATACCTTATGAGACTTTGTATAATAGACTGAAACTGTGTTTGAATAATGGAGATGGACATTAGATTTACATATTAGGTTGATCAGTGCTATCGTAAACTGTGACAGATTTATATAGATTAGGGCCAAATTCAGAGGTAAAAATGCAGATAGCGTATAAATGAAGGCCACTCATGGAATTTAGTTATTTTCAAGTGGGTACCTGGGATTTAATTACTCAGTGTGTGCAAAAGGAGGATCCAGTCCTGCTCCCTACTCACATGAGTTCTGTGGGGGTCACTGGGATTCTACATGTAAATTCTGCAGAACTGGGTCCTTGGTATAAATCCCAGGCACAGTGAGAGCTAAATTGTGGCATTGTATGTGGTGTAAGTTAGGGCAGAATTTGGCCGTGGAAGGGGCCAGATCAATGTGACTGATAGGGTAGGCGTTTTGCACAATTTAGAGAAGTTGTCAATAGGAAAGTTGCTCAGGAGGAAAGTGAGGCCCAAAGTTGCAAGTTCTTCTGAGAAAAACTGAGGGCTTTCAACTCCTATTGACTTCAGTGGAGGTTAAGGATGATTAGCGACTTGCTGGAGGCAACCAGCACTTGTGACAGGCAGGTAACTAAGCACAGAGGAATCAAGGCAGAAAGAAAAAGCAACTTTTGCCACTTTGTGGCATACAACACAATGAGACTCTGAAGAGGGTTGCACACTTAGTCCACAGTTGCCATAGGATTCCATATGGGAGAGAATATTCATTCTCAGGAATGTGACAGATGTCCTCTACTGTAGTGTAGGTGTAAATTAAAGTAGGAGGAAGGGTGCTTTATTTTAACCCTTCTGTTAGTCACTTAAGGCCGTCTGGATCACTGACATACCCTTGAGATCTACTGTGTTAAGGTAAAATATGACCGTGCCAGTGAAGAGTAAAGGGATAAGAGGAGAAGGTGACATTTCCCCCCATCCAAACTGGAGTAAGCATGTAAAACTGCAGCTCCTCTTCTCTCACCCCAATACCTTGACTCCTCCATAAGAGGTAGTCATAAGTAGTTGTCTCAGCTCTTCTTAGCTAGTAGCACTGGGAGTTGGGGTCAAAGGATAAGGATCTGCCTAAATGTGGATTTCGGACTCCACCTCCATCCCAGCCCTCTGCAGTAGAGTTAGTATGGAGATTCTTTTTGCAGTGCACAATTCCTTGTAATTCCTGAGTCTAAGTGGTTCAGGGGACTTTGCATGGATCCTCCACACTAAGGGTGAACTACACTGTGCCATGTGCTGAACTGAATGTTAGCAAAAATAAACCAGCGTGCATTGTGCATTGTGCCTGTAGTCACCACCCCATAGTCACAAACATGTGAAAGAAGTTAGCACTTAGAGATATTTCTCTAACTGGAAACTCTAGATAATGTGTCCAGTATCAGAGGGGTAGCCATGTTAGTCTGAATCTGTAAAAAGCAACAGAGGGTCCTGTGGCACCTTTAAGGCTAACAGAAGTATTGGGAGCATAAGCTTTCGTGGGTAAGAACCTCACTTTTTCCCAATACTTCTGTTAGTCTTAAAGGTGCCACAGGACCCTCTGTTGCTAGATAATGTGTGTTCTATTCAGTAGAAATTTAAAAAAATAATAATTTAAACCTCAAAAAGGAAGCAGGCATCCAATCCTGAGACGCACTGAATAGCTACATTTCCTGGGAAGTCCTAGGGACCAAACAGATGCTGAGCACCTGTAACTTCCTATCTTTGTAATCTTTCATGATAATAAAATAAGCTTAAAATATAAGAGAGAATTCTTGGGCTTAGAAGGATATTTTTCAGCTTTTGGACATTTTATTTCTGGATATCTCTGGATAAATTCTTCTGTGAAGCATTGCTTGTATCATCAGAGTATTGTGGAGATAAAGGGTAAGAAATATGTAATAACATTTAACTTTCTGATTTTTGCAGCCCCTACATCTGCAGATATTGTCCTTTTGGTTGACAGCTCTAATAGCCTGGGAAACAAGGCGTTCCCCTCTATGAAGTCTTTTATTAGCAAAATGATCAGTCATCTAACAGCAACTCCTAACCAATACCGTATCGCACTTTCCCAGTACAGTGATGATTTGCACGTTGAATTTCTGCTGGATACCTATAAAGCAAAGAACCCAATGCTGAATTATGTAAAAAAAAATGTTGTATTCAAGGGTGGTTCAGTAAAAACTGGCAATGCCCTTCGAGAAGTTCATAGGACCTATTTCAAAGGACCAGCTAGTGGAAGAGACAAAGAACGAATTCTGGTAGTCTTGACTTCAGGGGCATCAGAGGATGCTGTAGTAGAGCCTGCCAAGACCTTGAAAAGTGATGGGGTAAAAATCATAGCCATGGGGATTCAGGATGTTTCTCCTCAAGAACTGCAGTCAATAGCTACACCTCAATTTTCTTATAAGTTTCGCACAGTGAGGGATCTCAGTATATCTTCTCAAAACCTGACCAAGATCATTGAGGACGTTATTCAAACAGATATTAAACGCATAATACCAACAGATATAATTGCAAGAGATCCTGAGAGAGAAGGTAAGGAGTGCAAGGCTATGAAAAAATTGTGATCATATTGGTTGGAAGAAGTAATTCAGTGTTGGAAAGAAAGACACCTTGAACATTTTGGCTAAATTTTCAAAATATTAAATGACATGTATATTTTAAAACAATGAAGAGAACAGACATGTCCATGACCAGGTTGCTGTGTATACAGAGAGGCATGTAATCCTGACATTTTGAAAACCAGTGCCTATCTGTTCATGGCTTTATGCATGACTAACTCTGGACTCCACAAAAGTGAATGGAGAGTGGGTGGAGTGAAGCTGTAACTATTCTTGCAGATTTGGTAATTTTCAAGAGAAAATAGCTCTTGTTGTTGGTTTATGCCCTGAACAACTAATTAATGGGCATTTTCCTTTGGGCTTCCTCTGACGTGGCTGGTATTGACCACTGCTGGAGACAGGATGCTGGAGTTAGGTGGGCTGCTAATTTGATTCAGTATGGCAATTTCTGTGTTTCTAGATAAATCTGAATGAGGGAAACTATTTTAGAAGAGTTTTCCATGGATTGGCCAAGAAATAGATAATTAATATTGTATTCTTTTCCCCTCTCTTCCCCTGCAGTTTGTAAGAGTGATTCTGTTGCTGATGTTGTGTTTATAGTAGATGAGGGTGTTTCAAAACCAAAAGCTGAAGATATTAAAAATTTCCTGCAAAATACAGTCTCCTTTCTTGATGTGAAAAAGAATCATACAAAGATTGGCCTAGTGACATATAGCAGTGAGTCACACGTGTTATCGTTATTGAGCGAAGAAACACACAAAACTACTATTCTGCAGAAAATACAGGACTTTTCTCCGAGGGAAGGGAAGGCCAACACCGGTGCTGCCATTAAGGCTACAAGGCAAAGAGTCTTCTCTGGAAGCAGAAAGGCCCAAGGGATAGAGCAAATAGCCATTCTGATCACCCACCGACCCTCTGAAGACAACGTAAGTGAGGCAGCTCAGGATCTTCGGAGAGCTGGTGTGACTGTATTCACCATAGGCATTGAAAATGCTGATTACACCCAGTTAACCCAGATAGCATCATATCCTCCACAGCAATATGTTACTAAGCTGACGGCATTTTCTGACCTGCCAAAAGAAGCCAAAACTTTACAAAAGAAACTCTTAAATCAAATTCAGGACAAGCTGTATGTCCAGTCTATAAGAAGAGAACTACTTAAAGCAGGTAAACCTTCCCAGTAATTATATTTCTATCTTTTCTCTAGGTGGAAGATTTTTAAGTAGAGATGGTCCTGAACCAAAACCTGGATCCAAGCCCCCTGAACTTTTGATCTAGTTCCAAACTTTAGCCTTTGAGGAAGTGCAGTTCCAAAGCTGAATCTGGATCCAAACTGTAGCTCGGACCCATCTTTTTAACATATTGACTGGTTCATGTTATTTTATTGAATTAGTGCAAAGATCCTGCATCACGGTCTCCTAGTGGAGCAATTTATGTCTTTATGGAGTCCTCTTGGTGTCATTGGGACTCTGCATAGGTGTAAGGGAGGGTCCATGATAACAAAGCCCAGTATAGGATTGGTGCCTAAATTATTTTCATTGGGTTAGCAAGGCAGGCTTTTTTTTTTTCTCTTTCTTTCTTAGTCCAAGCAAACACAGCTTGGACAAGCAAGTTTTTACAACTCCAACCCCACAGAGTTTTGTCATTATACTGGTTGAAAAATAGAGGCTGTATACCTGGGGGGTTCCCTTCATCCCCTCCCCACCCATGAAGAAAACTACAGATGCCTCTGAATGGGGTTAGAGAGCTCACTTGGATAATCATGCGGCTCCAGGCTCTTGTACCCAGGAAGAATCCAAGCTAAACATCAACCCCTGACACTGTGGGCAGTGCATGAGGCCTAAAAAAGCTCCCTGCCACTCATCCATACCCTGCATTGTCAAGTCACATCTAACATGACTCCAGTACACTATATCAAAAAACAGGAATAG